TTGACGGAAGCAGCGCAGCGAAGATGCCTTATGGGTCTATGGATAGTCAGGATATCGTTGCGTGGGGACGTGTAGACAAGGAGAGGTATTTTGAAGAGAGGGAGAGGTTGGGGGTGTTGTGTGATTGGGGTCAGGAAGAAGGAAAGGGTGTTGATGGGTTTGTTAGGTATATGTTTGATTTCTTTTTGTGTTGGGGAGTTTGCTGATGATGTGTTGGTAGGATGGAGATGGATTTGTGAGTGTCTTAGGATTAACTATGAAGTTGAAACGTAGCTAATGGGTGCCACTACTAGTGAGATCATGCTATGCGACTTCACGGCAGGTGTACGTGTTGAGAGTATGCTTAACCTCGAAGAGATCAAAAGGGGTCGGGTTGGACCTCCTCTGCACGCTCCCAGCACCAACACCAACGCAGAAGTACGTATGGATATCGAGGTAAGTCTCAACACAATCTTTCACATCGCTCCAAGTATTCACTCATTATAGGTTATACGCGCCGGCGCACGACATAACCACTTTCCCGGCGAAACACGCGTTAAACTCGACTACACAAAGTTCATATCGTTCTACGATACGGATCTAGTACCTAGTTTGGTGGACGTACGTGCCCGGATGAATGGGAGGCTGGAACATCGGTTGGAAGGTATCTCTGCACGAGATATTGGTGCCGTGATGGGGAGGCTGAATAGCGCGTTTTCCGGTAGTGGAGGTAGTGGGAGTGGAGTGGATTGGCAAACCTTGATAAAAGTGGTTAAGGATAGGTATGCGGAGAGGTTGGAGTTGGTTAGGGATTTAGTCAACCTCAACGAGACCACGGTGAAGAAGGCAGGGGATGTACAGGGCCAGTTGACGGCGATGGTGGCGCCGTACCTTCTTGCATCGCCGAATTTTAATGCTACGTACAAGTTGTGTGCGACGACGCATACGAGGTATATCCGAGAGACGTTGGCCATGACACCTTCGGAAAAGCTACTCTTGGGTGCTGTGGAAGGTACGACGAAGGAGATATGCAGGTCTGTGATCAGGATGTGGAGTTGGGGTGTTGACCACGACGATGGAGACGTAGAAGAGCTCCTTGGCGCATGGAAAGAAGAAATCGAACGATTGATGAATTGGTTGGATTGGAGTGTTTGGTTAAAGTGTCGACCGGGGTGTAATTGGGACGTACGTGTGCTCACTTTGCTTCTTGGTCGTTGCTTATGTGGCGTGCGCAGGAAATGTGTTATCTACCCACTTGGCCGATGTTTCGATGGGGACCTGGTGGGAGACCTGGGCCACCTGGGAGAGGACCACCGCCACCTGAGGATGTCGATGAGGATGAGGAACCGGATTGGATTGATCCACAGCCTGTGTGTAGAAAGATTGTGGGGGAAGTAGATTTTTAGAGTACTTTAGAAAAGGTTTTAGATGTGCACATAGATCGATGTACCTGGAGATGTAGGAGTGGTCACTGGCCGACTAGCTCAGTTGGTTAGAGCGTCGTGCTAATATCGTGTAGTCGAATATGAACGCGAAGGTCTTGGGTTCGATCCCCACGTTGGCCAGTGTCTGGGTGTGAAGTGAGAATTTTTTTTCTGTCGCACTGATACTTTAGTGGGGCTGTGTAGTATCGATGCGCCGTGGAACAAGAAGATCAAAATCATAGCGGGTTGGCGGGCAAGGATCAACATCAAAAGAGACGGAACGATAATCAATGATGAGTCCTGGATGTGTATACAATTTGTTTCCAAGAGACAGAGACGGGCGCAAGCAGTGCTAGCAGTGAGATGTGCTGTGCAGGCGCTGAGAAGGCAGTGACGTGACAGACTTGCTATAAACCGCAGTCAAACGTCTTTTGTTGGTAAACCATGAACGTTCCTCCACCACCACCACCTACGCTAGCAACACCAATTCCACATCGTATTCAATCAGATGTAAGCGTCGTTTCTGCTTAACCGATTTTACGTCTAACAACATGCTGTAGATGGCACATAATCTGGAAAATTTCTCAACTTCTCCGCCTCCGCCTCCTCCACCAGCCTTTCCACAAGCCAATATCAACTATAACCCAGGTTTTTCACCTCCACCTCCCAGAAACGGCGATTGGAGTCCTTGGGCTGCCCCTCCTCCTCCACAACCACCACAACAGCAAAATCGATCTTACACTGCTTCTCCTCTTCCGGATCCTTACTCTCTCTCACACCAAATGTCTTCTCTATCACTCGCTCCGTCCTCTTCCGGTACCGGTACTGGGTCATTGACTGCCCCACTCCCAACACCCCAACACCTCCTCACCTTTCTCCCAACAATCCATTCTTCGTCTCCAGACACCCAACTCTCATGGATCCGCGATATCCTTTTCTTAATCGACAAATCCGCCTCCATATCTGCTTCTCAAAACGCTCAATATGGGTCGACTCCACCTGATCCACCTACTGGGCCAGTCAACATCGCTGATCCAGACCTTTTAAACCTCTCTTCACACGCTATCCCACTCCTCTTAACAATCTGCAACCAACAACCCCCACCGCCCGAGGCTTTGTTCCACCGCGCATGCCTGACGGCAAGCGGCGCCTTCCCATCATACATCAAACCGAACCCGCGTTCTGCTTTCCGTGATTTCGAAGCTGCCGCTCGGGCTGGGTACGCTAGAGCGTGGTATCGGATTGGTCGGGACTATGAGTCCTTTAGTGACCTTACACGCGCGCGAGAGTGTTTTGAGAGAGGTGTATCGAAGGGAGAGCCGGGGTGTATGTATAGGATGGGTATGGCTTGTTTACTTGGGCAGTTGAACCAGCCGGCGAATGTCGATCGGGCGTTGTCGCTTTTGAAGGGTGCGGCGATTGCTAGTTCGTTGGACGCCCCGCAGCCGGCGTATGTGTATGCGCTACTATTGTTGGGGGAGTTCACACAGGCTAGTGTACCTCCGCATTTGCTACCACCGACTGGACAGGCACAGGCGGAAGCGAAACAGCATTTAGAGAGGTCTGCGTACCTCCATTTTCCCCCGGCGCAGTATAAATTGGGGCATGCGTACGAGTTTGCTGTACCGCCTTGGGAGTTTGATAGTTTGATGAGTGTGGAGTGGTATTCGAGGGCAAGTCAGAATGGGGAGGTTGAGGCGGATATGGCGTTATCCAAGTGGTTCCTATGTGGGTCTTCTGTTGAAGGTACGTGTGTTTTTCTTGTTTCTTGCTGTGTTACGGTGTTGATAAAGAGGCGCAGGTAAATCCGCAGAAGAAGGCTTTGAGAAAGATGAATCCCTAGCGAGAATCTTTGCGGAGAAGGCTGCCAAGAGGGGATTACCGAGTGCAGAGTTTGCAATGGGGTATTATGCAGAGGTTGGTGTGGGGGGTGTTAAGGATTTGGGTGAGGCTAGGGCGTGGTACGAAAAGGTGAGGCGTTTTTGTTTTTCTTGCGTGTTTCTTCTTTTTTGTTTTATGTTACGAGGAATACGGCCTCGGGCTTGTATAGCCGTGGACGTGCGGGTGTTGTTACGTTCTGCATCTGCCGTCGGTCGAGGCTGCCATCTTACATCTGTTCCTTGTGCCTTATTCCTCACACACACACACCTCACACATATACACTTACTAACGAAACACCTCAACAGGCCGCCGCACACGGCAACACAGACGCCGGAGACCGTCTATCCGCTATCGCACAATCCCAACACCTCACTCGCGCCGAACATGATTCCATCACTGAGAGTAAACTCGTGAGGAGTAGGACGCAGGCGAAAGAGAGGAGTGAGGCGCAGAGGATTAGGGATGGGTATTTGGCAAAGTACGTTTGTTTTCTTTTTCTCTTTTTTTCGCGTTTTTTTGGGTGGCTGATGAAACGCAAAAGCAGACAAGGTCCAGCACCACCTGGATATCCCCAACCACCACCACCACAAGCAGGCCCAGGGTACCCACAAGCGCCGTACCCGCCCCAGCAACAACAGCAGTACCCGTCGAGAAGGGATAGTAAACAGGTCGTGGATCTTATACGTAAAAACACGCTACAACAACAGCGGCCACCTCAACCTCAGCAAGGACATGGGAGGTATCCTACCGAACCACCACAACAGCGTCCACCACCGCAAATACAAGCACCACCGCCGCAGATTCAAGTCCCACCCCAACAACCACCACCGCAAATCCAGGCACCGCCACCCCAACAACCGTATAACGGCCCAGGCGTCGGCCCCCGCCCGCATTTACAGACACAACAAAGTTTCCCAAATGCGAATCGGTATACGCTTACGGACCCAGGCTCCGGTTCAGCTGCACCTTCTGGGCGGACGACGTCTCCACATCCACACCCAGGAAGGAGAGTTACGTCCGACTCTGGCCCAGGTGGAGGTTTAGGGGCAGGAGCTGGAGGTATGACACCACCAAGTAGCCGCCCAACATCTAGCGCCGGGAGTGGACCGAAGAAACCAGGTCCACAGACTTTCGCGGAGATGGGCTTTCAGGGTGCGAAAGCTGAGGATAAGGATTGTGTTGTTATGTAGGTGGGGTGGTTTTGCGTTGTGTTTTAGTTGGGGAAGAGGTGTGTTTTTGGGGTGAAGGGAAGGTATTGGGAAGGAAGGAAGGAAGGAAGGAAGGAATGCACTCGGACTTGAACTCGAACTTGGACTTTACGCTTAACTTCAACCCTTATGATACCTTTTGCTACGTCTAAGACTTGCATAGAATAACAAACCCCGAACCCAAAGTCTTTTTGTACATACACACACACACATAGGTTGATGAAATGAAGTCGGAACGTGGTCACAAAACGAAAAAAAAACTATCAGGTGGATAACCAATGGCCAACGTGGGGATCGAACCCAAGACCTTCGCGTTAACATTAGGGTATCCAAGCACAATATTAGCACGACGCTCTAACCAACTGAGCTAGTCGGCCGTTGGGTACTCGCTTCTGTGTTATGGATTCTACTGGTCACGGGTTCTTGGTCATGGAGGTAGATACGGGAATTGGGAAGCCAAAGCAGACGATCGCGACAAAGCAAAAAGTCCATACCAGCTATTGTAATCTGGCCAACGTGGGGATCGAACCCAAGACCTTCGCGTTGATATCCTCAAGTATGATATTAGCACGACGCTCTAACCAGCTGAGCTAGTCGGCCAGATAACGATGCGGCCTTGGATTGGGTAGACCAACAGGGAGAGAGAAAGGGGGGTGTCGTTGAAATCACGATTGCGATGCAGAACGACTTGGACCTTTCGAACGTTGAAATTCAGGTGCGACACAAAAAGGGTATGATTGAGAGAGCCTCATCTGGCCAACGTGGGGATCGAACCCAAGACCTTCGCGTTAATATGCAAACGGTAACGACCTAAATATTAGCACGACGCTCTAACCAACTGAGCTAGTCGGCCAGTGATTTGTTCGTATCTTCCATCGTATTGGATCCGTACGTCAACGATAAGCTACGGTACAGGTATCACATCTACACCCAATTTCAATCAGCCTAACCCACTCCCAATAAAACACAAACAGAGAGAGAAACTCACCAACCAAGCCCAAACCTTCTCTACCACATTCCTCGGCGGTGGTTCCTCATAGCTACACCCCATGTCCATTTCAGCTCAATCAACCAAAGAAGGCAGAGGACATACCTATCCCTAACAACCTCCTCAACACCACTAACAAAATCCATCTCCTCCACTCTCACAAACCTCGTCTTGCGGTATACTTTACACCCTACAAACATAATCGGGAATAACGCCACGGGGAGGTAATTCGTGATGAAGGTATCGGTTTCCCAGTTGTCTGTTAAAAAGACTTTCCAGCCGCTGAACTGTTTTCGCCGTTGTGAGTGTGCTATCTAGAATCAAGGTAGGCTTAGAGGAACTCACAATGCAGATAACTACACATCCAACACAAGCATACCACCCCGCATACGGCTGCAAGTTTGACTTGAAAGGCAACTTTTGGCGATCGAAACCTTGAGCACGCATTCCGGCGTAAAAACGGAGGTAGGTGATGCTTATACCGAGCCAGGTGAGTAAGCCGGCCATTGCTATCGTCGCGTGTTATTAGCCGTACGGTAAAAAAGAAAATAGGACATAGGGAACTGACCAGTCATAGCCTGAAACCAATGAAAAACGGTACCTGCACCGCTAGAGACAGCCATGTACGCTAAACCGGAGAATAGGGAGCAGGTGACGATGGAGACCCATGGAAGACCGCGAAGAGGTTGTAAGGAGGATAATGGAAGGAGCTTGCCCTGAGAACTGCGAGCCATCTATAGCTTCGGTGATATTGGACATAAGAAAGAAAGGAAGGAAGGAGAGCATACAAAAGCGCCTAGAAGCTGTGTAATAAACACTCGGAGGCAGCGGACCACCGGAGGAAAGCAGAGCTGCATTTATCACCTATCCAGTAATCAGTATGACTTGAATTGAGCTTGATAAAGAAAGAACACACACCGAGGCAAACCCCAATCCCAAGCATTTGAATAGCAATCACAAACGGCCCCGAAAAGGCACCTGCCGTCTTAACCATGTTTAAACCTGGGCTCGTTGAAAGAACGAGTATCACAATGATGAACGTCCCGCCGATGTAAAAGAGGAGAATGCGAATGTATACGCGTTTGATTGCGCGTGGGATGTTGCGTCTACAATCAGTGAAGTTAGGCGACGATCTGGAGACTAGACGGGCGGTTCTTCGGCTCACCGGGGATTCTTGGTCTCACCAGCGGCGATCTGTCAAAGGTGTTGAGACTGGGAATGATTATAAGAAAGAGAGAAAGACGTACGCTGACGATTTCCGTCCCGATGAACGAAAATACAGCTTGTGTCATTACTGCCCACCATCCAAGGAACCTTCCTTTAGCCCCAGGGATTTCGTTGAATTGAACAAAGGGGCCAGGATCGAGCCAGTACCGGAAGCCTATGCGGTCATGATTGGGACCACCTGTTGTGATTTTAGCGGTGAGAATAGTGAAGGTCATTGGAACACGAACCTCCAAGATCAAGGACGATACCGAGAATTATTAATCCAACGATGGTTATAACCTTGATCGATCTAGAGCTTCTCTTCAGCCGACGTAGCAGCCACTCGAGTAATGCACTAACGCGAAAATGAACTCTGCCTCTCCGTAAGCGCCTTCAACAGTTCAATCAGTACTTGTCTTCACCAGGAAAGGGTGCGCATACCTGCACCAAGCAAATTTATCCCAACTACCACAATCAAACATATTGAAATCCACAATGGATTCAGCTT